AGATATATGAAGGATTTCAGGTTAGGTGAAGTTTGGATAAGAGGGAATGTTCTTGCTATTCAAGCTCATATAAAACTCATTCACTCATTGATTATTTTTTTATTTCTGTGGATCTTCTTTCCAAGGTCAAAAGTTGTGGTTACAGTAGTATTGTAATAAGTGACCACGCAACAGTGTTTATGGAGATCAATTTAGGCAGGTTTGAACGTCACGCAAGATGGAGGTTACAAGTTTATCTTCAAGACCCAGACTTTGTTACATTTGTGGAAAGTTGCATTGACAATTATTTTTGAACTAAATACAGATGTAACTGTCTCTTGTTAACGAGTGGCTAAAAGCCTAATGTGGACTAAACAAACGTACTATGATCAAGGGGGAAAAGCGGGTAAACTACTGGCCTGGAGAGTAAAGAAAATGCAAGCAGAAAGAATAATCAATGGTATAAAATCAGTATCTGGCAACTTAACTGTAGACCCAAAAGAGATACATAATAATTGTAGAGACTTTTATAAATCAGTATAAACAGAAAACAGGGAAGCTCAGAGCAATTTCCTTGACAGGCTACAGTTTCTCTGTCAGATGATGACAAAGCAAAACTAGATAGTCAATTGACAATAGCCGACCTTTGTGAAGCTATAGGTAATATCAACAGCGGTAAAGCACCCGGACCAGACGGGTTTCACATAGAGTTTTTAAAACATTTAAAAAACAACTTGTAAAGCCGCTTCTCGATATGTATAATATGTATAATATGTATAATCTATTATATATAATATGTATAATGTTTTGTCAAAGGAACGCTCCCAGATTCATTGAGATTAGCTATAATAACTTTAATATTAAAACCAAACAAGCCACCAACAGAATGCTCATCTTACAGACCAATTAGCTTAATGGGATGTGTGAAACAAAAATACTTTACAAAGCTCTTTCTGGACGATTGGATAAATATCTCCCTCACTTAATTGTTGATGATCAACAAGGTTTTGTGCAAAAACGTTGTTGTTCAATAAGAAAATACCAATAAACATATTGTAAAAAAAAAAAAGATCATTTAGATATTTTTTTGGGGATAAAATAATTGGATTTATGACTGTTTATCGACCCATGGAAACCATGTTGGGACGTCTGATTTTAATACAATAACAAAGAAAATATTGTAGTATTCAAGTAGTATTGTATGTATATTGTTTCAAAGACGATTTTAAAAGGTCCCAAAGGGGCAGAATTAAGAAAAGTCGAAAAAAAATACATGCATGACAGGAATCCGTTTTTAAATATGTTTTTGATGATTTTTTGCATGTACCTCTTACAGATAAAAACAAACGTTTGAATGTTTGGACTAAAACACTTAAGCATACAAATTTTCATATGGTCAGACAGAAGACGAATAAACTGTCATGATCATGATAATAACTGATGTGATGTATTTCATTGCATTTCCTCAGGTGGTGAGCTTCGATGCTTCGACCACAGTGGACGAGTTCCAGTGTCGCCTGAACCAGGACACCGGCATCAGGAAGACGGGTCTGTCTGGGTTCAGCCTGTTCACTGACGACCCCACGGGACGAGAGCTGGAGCACTTTCTGCAGGGAGCCATCAAGGTGCTGCTTCCATTCATGTGTTCAGAGGAACTGTTTCGTTTTTATACCTGGATTGAAAACAATTGAACAGATTAACGATAAACATCTGTACCTCTACTTCGCTGTTTGACTCAAATCTGACTTCCTCGAGGTGATTTGAGCTGATTTGCAACTAATGCATCCTCAGCTTTTCCTCTGATAAAAAAATCCAGATACTCAGGAGGTTTTTAACGTCAGCCGTATTATCCACAGTGGTCTGCTCCTCTTCTAAACAATCAGGCCAAATAATTAAATTGGTAAAATGCTGAATTGAGCATTTTCACATTCAAATCTGTGTTTTTCCAATGCTGTTTGGTTGCCGCTAACGTTTCCTCAGCTTGTGTTTCTGATACTTTAAGATCCAGACAGCCAATGACTAAAATATATCACTTGGCTAAACAGCAACAAAAAAACTCAACCACAAATGTACAAAGAGGATAGTGCCATTACAGGCGACCAAATGAAACAGGCCGTAACCTTGATTACATTTCTGTAGGTTTGAACATTTCTGAAAATATTTTAAATAATGTAAGCAAACAAGTCAACACCATTTTGTTAAGAAAGGTCCAATCAAAGCGTTTTTATATCTCCTGCAGATTTGTGACATTATCTCCAAATGGGAGCAAGCTTTGAAGGAGCAGCACACTGGCAAGTCTGAAAACACCAGGACTGTCCGCCTCACCTACAAGAACAGGTAGAGAAGGACACTTACATGATACATCTATGCTTACACCAGGTTCAACAAATCTATGTTTAGATTCAGTCTCAAGATATCTAGGAGTTTTGATTAGGGTTCACTTTAAGGGAATACATCAGAACGTATTTCAACATTTACGCTATTGTATTTTAATTGAATGCAATCTTTTAAAAGCTCAACTGGAGTGAAGACTAAATTGATTTAGTCTTGAGAAATACAACACAAACATTTGAAAATACATGTCTGTATTTGTTCATTTCTCTCCATCTTTTTTTACTTTTACCATTTCTGCCTTGACCCCACTCGCAGGCTGTACTCCTCTCTCCAGGTCAGGGGGGAGTCAGAGAGGGAGAGGTTGCTGCTGGCCTATCAGACAAATGAGGCTATTGTAGCGGGACACTTCCCTGTCAACAAGGAACTGGCTCTGGAAATGGCTGCCCTGCTGGCCCAGGTCTGGAAGTTATAAAACATTTTTAATGAATTTCTCCTGAACATTTTCTTTTTAATTTGTACTTGTGTAACATGTTTGTGTCTGTGTTCAGGTGGAGTTTGGAGACTTTGAGCGTCCCTTCTCTGCTCCTGGATCAGCACAGACCAAGTCCAACCAAACCCTTAAACAGGTTCTGGACAGATTTTATCCCAAACATTACCGGAGAAACACGTCTGAAGAGCAGCTCAGGTACCAGATCACACTGAAAACGACACATATCTGATCCAGTCCAATCAGATCTCTGTGAAACGTTTTTTAGTAATTTAAATATAGCTTTAATGGTATTTTTATTTGTTTGATTTTAAACCTGTCTTGTACTGTAGAAACGTAACTTCCATGTATTTAAACTTATATTTACTTGGTTTTGCTTGTAATACACTTTAAATGACCTCAGTGTTTGATAAGGTGCTGTGTAAATAAACATGCCATATCGGCACAAAGGAGGTCCTAAAGCTCCAACAAAGGGACAATAGAGCCATTTCAAGTTATGCAGCAACACCTTCTCCAAAATCAGGTTGTGGCAATCAAAAGAGTATAATGGATGTCTGTCCCCCCCCCCCCCCCGTCAGACAACTGCTGCAGCGCCTCTCCGCCCGCTGGGCCTCCCTCAGGGGGCGAAGTCCATCGGAGTGTGTCAGGATCTACCTGACCGTTGCCAGGAAGTGGCCTTTCTTTGGGGCCAGGTTATTTGAAGCAGAGGTGAGAGAGAGAGAGAGAGAGAGAGAGAGAGAGAGAGAGAGAGAGAGAGAGAGAGAGAGAGATTTTTTTTCAGAAACTGGGAAAACTTTTGTTTTTACCATTGTTTACACTCAGTTGCTTTCTGGTTTAGATTGAAATATAATATACTACGTAAAATTAACCATAACCAGATTGAGTGTAAATTGTCATCGTACATTATTGATTAAATACTGACAATTTAACATACATAAGTGCAAAAAAACTTTCTTCTTGTTTCTCTCTGTTCTAAGGCCATCCCTCCCTCTCCGGAGAAGGGGGCTCGTGTTTGGCTGGCGGTGCATGAAGATGGTGTCAGCGTTCTGGAGCACAACTCTGTCGTAAGCGTCTCTGTTTTAGCTCCCTGCAACTGCGTGACATGATGTCTCCTTGATCCCCTGATAAAGAGAATCTAAACAGGAAACCTGTATGATGTGTTGGGTCATGAAGCTAGAATTTTTTAAGTGAGGTTACTCAAGGTAGCCTGACCATAAAGAAACAAGCAGGAGTACAAATTATGGGCTATTGATTGTGATTGTGATTATTACTGATTGTGAAAGGGGATAGCAGCAACATATATTTTAGCCATAAATTAATCAGTTCAAGTCTAGGCTATGTTTACGAGAACTAAAGTCTTTTTTTATGCTTCGTCCAAAGCCACCAGTTCTCATTCATAACAAACCTATAGATTCCATTATAATTACTTAGCCAAACACAATAGGTCACTTTGGTGTTTTAAGGGAGTGACAACAAACAAACTAACCCATTGAGGTAGTAGTAGAACAGTACCTTCTATGTTTCCTGCGGTAAAATTCATGATTTTGTTAATGGAGTCTGGTGGTTCTAAAGAGAGCATAGCCAAATGCTTTAGTTCCCAATTGGAAAGTGCTGTCTCACGACTTAAGCAGTTAACATTTCTAGGTGGGTGATTTGTACTTTGCCACTGCTCCCATCCACAGAAGTACAGCATTGCATAGCTAATGTATGCTAGCTCCTGTTAGCTTCTGCAGAATGAGGGTGTGTCGACCGCTATTTTTGTAATAGTACACTCTATTGATAAGTTCCTTATACAATCTTACTCCAAAGAAAATCAGAACTATCACTTTAAGAGTCAGTCATTTTCCATGGGTGGTCTAAAATAACTTGATTATATTAGCACAGTTAAGCACTAGCTTAACATGATTTTGTCACATAAATTGGACTAAAGCACAGCAAAAATGCTAATGAGTAAGCTTGCTTATAGTTCAGCAGATATGTGAAAGAATTGTGCTTTTAATGATAAAAGCATGACATTTGGCACACTGTTAGAGCATGCCCTAAGGAAGATCTTTGGCTATAGGGCCATCGCAAATTTGTCCAATGGCGCCATTTTGAAAATGGCCGCCATTGGTTGTTATTTTACCAGTTGTTATTACCCCAATTCCTGGAAGAATCTTCATATATAACCTACATATCACTTTCTGTAATAGTCCAGCAGATATGTGAAATATCTGAAAGAATTGTGCTTTTGATGATAAAAGCATGAAATTTGGCACACTGTTAGAGCATGCCCTAAGGAAGATTTTTGGCAATAGGGCCATCGCAAATTTGTCCAATGGCGCCAATGGTTGTTATTTTACCAGTAGTTTAGGATCTAGACCACCTAGGATCTTGATTCTGGTGGCTAATCCTACATTTTNNAAGGATGGGGAATGCATTGGTACTATTTACAACATGCTAGAATGTAGCTAACTATATGTATCTGGTATTCAGGGAACAAAATACACAGTAAACCATTAACATATTTATTATGGTGAAGTCATACATGTTACATAATATATATGAAATATTACAGGTTTTCAACTAAATGCAGACTTAGTTCTGAAAACACAGTCCACCACAGTGGCAAAGGGCAGTGTACTGAATTGCTACCTTGACACATTCAGGAGGAGTTCACTCCAGGCCTGGGTCGATTGGGCTGCTGTGATTGCCAGTAGGCTACTACCACATCCGTGTCAACTGTGCGTATTGACACCTTGCTATACCCTTCCTTCACAGCATCTCCTAGGTGCAGTAGGATGCGGGTATCAGCCTCCTCATGTGTGCATGTTGCAAGTACTGATTATTTGTTTGCCAGTGTTGAGGGCTGTCGCACTGGTTGCCAGGAAGAAGAACAGTTCAGCCTTCTTGTTTTCAATGCGCAGAAACTCTGGCCAGTTTCCAGGAATGACACTGGATGGCTCAACGCATCTATGAACTCCCTTCCCTCTCTTGCTGCGTGTTTCAGCTTTCAGACTTTCGGGGAAATATTCATCCCACACGACATCAATTCTGCTGACATGCTCCAGCTGAGACAGAGTGATCTGACCAGGATTCAGAATCTCTAATGCCTGAGAAGTGAGCGTGACACTGCTCTCTGGTATTGTATGACCGCACTAGCAGCCAGGAGTCAGTCAATCAAGCAGCTCTTCACCCAGAAAGGTGGAACAATTGAAGGACTCCCCCCAACACAAGCAGCATCGATTCAGCACAAAGAGATATGCCTTCCAAGCTGGTCACTGCTGGGGACAGATGATGTTTGCAGCCCCTGAACTCCCATCCCCAGGTGACTGGGGGTGGAAGAGGAAGGCCACAGGTGGATGGGAAGTTTACTGGACCACATTACCAGGCCTGTTGTGAACTCCTCCGCTGTGGATGCAAAAAGGGTTGCAGTGGACAATGCAAATGTGTCAAGGCAGCAATTCAGTGCAGTGCCCTTTGCCACTGTGGTGGACTGTGTTTTCAGAACTAACTCTGCATTTAGTTGAAAACCTGTAATATTTCATATATATTATGTAACATGTATGACTTNCGATCTGGCGGAGAAAGGTTGTGGAGCCTCCGTTGATATGCCGTTGTAAATGGCTTGATGGAAAGCAGGTGTGTAGTTGGGGAGTGTGCACAGCTGATTGCAGCAGGTGAGTGGAGGTTGAACCGGGAGGCTCCAGCCACCACGCCCACTCAAACAACACAGACAGGGGGAAACAAACACAAAGTAGACGGCTGGAGCAGTACAGCCACCACAGCGTTACCTAATGCAACTCCACACTACGTCTTACGGTGCTGTGTACCGGAGGGGAGAGAGAGAGAGCAGCGAAGGGGGGGAGAGAGATGTAATACGGTTTCCTGCTAAAGCTGTGGAGAGTATGTGCTGCAGGGAGGTGGATGCACAACGCACCCAGGAACGAAAGCTAGCTCCGGTCCTTTTCCCGTGAGGGAAACTGTGGACTTGATGTCCTGACAGGCTGGAGTTTATGCAACCTGCACAAACTCCAACTCACCATGATTACAAATGGTGAAATGAAATGTAAAATTACTGAACAAAATAACAGCTCACTAAATCACAACCGCTCAAACCAACTACAAACTACTACTGCGGATTGGGCAGAGAACGAGTCCGAGAAAGTTGCTCCCCCATGTGATGTAATATGACGCGTTTGACGTATGACGTTAAAGAAACAGTTTTTAGTAGCAGAGCTCAAAACCGCTCCTTTTCCTCTGAATTCTTGCCCTTATGTCTTGTAAAACATATCAAATCCTGCCTTAACATTTTTAATTGTAATTTTCAGGCAAGGTCAACCTTGCCTGAAAATTACAATTAAAAATGTTAAGGCAGGATTTGATATGTTTTACAAGACATAAGGGCAAGAATTCAGAGGAAAAGGAGCGGTTTTGAGCTNGTGTGTGTGTGTGTGTGTGTGTGTGTGTGTGTGTGTGTGTGTGTGTGTGTGTGTGTGTGTGTGTGTGTGTGAGGTATGTTGCTCTGGACGTAGGAATGGAGTCACTGCGCTCGCCCCCCCGTCCGTGTGGATTGTTTCAGAGCAGCAGCATGGGATCAGTAATGTGTAAGTGATGCACACTTTTGATAGCTTTCACAGTGTTACACATGTTGACATAATCTGTTATAATACAAGTTAAGGATCAGCTTCTGGAACACTTCTGGACATGATGTACTGTTTGTTTGCATGGTACCACTTTGGCTTTGCCCCCCATGACAGAATGATGATAGGATCCATTAGAAGTGAATTGGACCTGTTTAGCCAGAGAAGTTGATATAGAGTCATGGTCTGTTTTTGTGCTGAAAGAAGTATTCAGATTGTACAAGTAAATGAAGCAATACTACTTTTTAAACTGATATTCTAAGTTAGAAGTCCTGCATTGAATAGCTTACTTAAGTACAAGTAAAAAAGTATTGGCATTAAAATATACTCAAGTAAAACCCAAAAGTAAGAGCGTGATTTTCATAATCATATTTATTTACTGGATTATGATCATTGATGCTTCAATGTGTTTATCAAAGCTGGTAAAGGTTGAGCTAATTGTAATTACTTTAGATAGTGTGGCTGGAAATATTGACTTGTAATTTTGTGCCACTATGTTAATTTATTAGTTTATTTATGTTTTGTTTCAGCTAGTAATCTGAATCAGTAAAGTAATAACGCTGTTCTGAAATGTGGAGTAAGAGGACAACATCTGTCTCAAAATGTAGTAGAATAAGTAGCGTAAAAGGAAACCAGTACCACTAGCTTAAGATTTTGGAGTAAATGTACTTCATAATATTTCTCCGCTGGTCTGTATGACTTTAGCGTATCAATATTGATAACAGCAAGCTGTAGGAGCAAATAAGTATATTTATTTGTGTCTCAAGTGTGTTTTTGTCATTTATTTACAGTAAATGGACTACAGCAGTGTTGATATGTTAATGCAATGCTAATATATAAGAAATAGCTGGGTAGAGTGTTCATTTCACCAAAGTGAGTCACAGTATTATCTATAGTAAAATATTGTTATTTATTTATTGACTATATTTTGTATTATTGAGCTGAACAAAAAAACTATAGTTAACAAACAAATCTAAAATATGTACTTATACACCACGATTGTGTCTAGATTTATTATTTTTAGGCATTTTTAGCTTTAGTAAAGGGACTGTTTACTGATACTGTATTTGGAAACATACTGCAAGGAAAATTTAAAACAACACTCAAAACTAAATTATTTTCTTTTACGGAAAATAAATCCAGAAAAAAACAACAAAAAAACTAAATTTAAGTTCTACAAATGTCCACTGTAGTCCCTGATATAATCATAACACATTTGCAGAGGTGCAGAAAACAACTAAGATATACCCCATAAAGAAGAACAAATGACTAAATTCTTAATTGTGTGGCATTCTACTCTGTTTCCTTCTGTTTGTTACATTCTGCAGCTAGGCACAACTAATTTCACTATTAATTGTGTGTATGATTATTTACAAAAAGAAAACTACATTTTAATTTGAGTAAAGATCAAAAGTAGCAGTGTTTAGAGCATAGCTACATTT